TAGAAAAAGTTTATTTTTAATGTCACAGAGGTAGAAGAAATGAGCCTTAGAAGAAATACGTAGGCTCAGGAAACAAGTTACAAGGCAAGAGAGGGCCCTTGGAGTTAGGAGAAAGAAAGGCAAGGAAAACATGCCTGGGGAAAATTATGGGTGTGTTCCATAGTGAGCGCTACACAGGGTCCTTCCTCTTGAGGGTATTTATTTATAGATCTCAGGGGAGGATCCCAATAGAATATCCATCAGCTTTCTTTCAGGGTCAGGATCTCTGTTGATTAGACAGCATCAGGGGGCTCATTAGGCATTGCAGCTGGTCCTGAGGTAGCCATGCCTTCACTTGTCTGGTTTTGTTGCTTTTCTGGGCCTGGAGCTGAAACAACTGAGGCCTAGGTGCATGTGAAAGGTATGGAAATCGTGCCCGGGGAAGTGGGGCATTGTCCTGGGGGCTTAATGCTTAAGAACTTAATTATCTGGCCCCCTTGTTCTTTCCCATCTAAGGGGTTCCAACCCCCAGGACTAGCAACATACCAGAGGAGGAAAGATCCGGGGAGGGTCCGAACTGCAAGGCCAGTGATTTGAAAGGTTAGGGGCTAGGGTAGGAAACGTCACCTTGGGAGCAAGTCCCAGCCCAGTTTTGCCCATTCTATGTACCTGGGACTTTCTACCTGGTGATGTTCTATACCTGGCTGATGGTCCTTGCTTAGCTCAACTCATGTCTATCTAACTGCCATATATCTGCACATAAGCATTGAAGTCAGACTGAGACTTTTATTGTAGCCAATGAATAAAGGGCTTATTGAGACTCCCACTGAATACATCATCCCTATTCTGAGTCTAGGGAACGATGACAGAGAAGATGGTTACACCACCCAAAACAAACTGCCAAGGTCAGCTGAAAACAATTAAGCAGTGAGGTCTTAAAGGAGAAAATTTAAGCAGGTTTTATTGCTTTACATTGACCTAATTTCCTGTGACCTTATAATGGACTTTAAGTTTATTTGTATTTGCTCATTTTAAAAGGAAGCTTAAATTTGGCTAGAAAGGCTGATATGATTTTTTTTCTACCGTCACCATCTAGTGGAGGGAACTTTGAACTATAGGCAAAATGATCTAGGACTCGCAAATAAAATGATAATCAAGGGCACTATACCAAAAGCATTTGCATTTATAAGGTCATTTAATTTCCTTTTTTAGATTTGAAAATTGAGCCTAAAGAGTTATGAGTTTTGCCCAAGGTCTCTTTATAGCCAACTCAAACCCAGATTCTTGAAGTCCAAGCCTAGTGCCATTTTGATCTCATCCTCTCTAATAAAGAAGGAATATGCAAATTCACTGTCACACCATATTAAGATGGCTGGGCCCACAGCAGAGGAGGGGATCCCGAATTGCAAGATGGTTGCGGCCACAGCAGAAGCCCAGTTCCTGTAACCAGCCTTAACGAGCAATCAGCAGGGACCTGAGGCTGCATGGCACTGGGCCAGGGCAGGGGACCTGAGGCTGTACTCCCCACCTGGTGGGGCTTGGCAGGGGACCTCAGGCAACAACCTCCTGCTCCAACGCCAGGCTGAAGAACCTTAGGTTGTGCCCCCGGCCCTGCAGGGTTTGATAGGCACCTCAGGCCGTGCCCCCCTCCCAGCCACCAGGCCAAGTGACCTGAGGCCATGCCCCCCACCAGGCAGTGTTTGATGGGGGTGTGGCCAGCCAGGTCTGGATCTAGCCCAATGAGTGTAGGGTGGCTGGGTCTGGGTCTCACATGATTTTGAGGCACACATGTGGGGGTGGGGACTTGACTCTGGTTCCCATGGTGCACCCCAGACTCTGACAGGAGGAAGATTTTCATATACATTTTACTAATTTTCTTTCATCTCAGACACTTCTATTATAGAGAAAGGTCAAATAGCAATATTAAAATATTTTCTTCTAATTAATTCCCTTTTAATGTGCATGAATTTTGTGTACCAGGTATATATATGTGTGTATATAGCCAGCATTAACACCAGAAAGACTGGTTGAGCAGACACCAGTAGGTAGACACTCAATGCAGGAGCTGCCCCCTGGTGGTCAGTGTGCTCCCACAGTAGGAGAGCCACTCAGTCAGAAGCAGGGTACCGGAGCCTCTCCTGCCTGTGGCAGGCACAATCTCCAGCAAACAGACTGCAGTCCCAATGCCTGGGTGGTGGGGGTGTAGCCCGAATAACCACAGAGCGGCCTTCCCCGCCCCTAGAACTCTCCCTTCAGACCCTGTGGCTGCACCGCACCCCTTATCTATTACCCTCTAGGTCTCCGGATGCAGGCTCGGGAAAAACCCACAGAAGCGCTTCACAAACATACTGCTTGGGCCGGCCCCCATCCCAAGAGCAAGTGCTGGTGAAGTCCAGCCCAATGATCAACACCCACGCGTGTCTGCAGGCGAGCCCTTCGCAACTTCTACCTACCACCTGGCCCCATCTCCCGGAAAGGTCCGTGACCTGGCACCAGATACCCGCTCCTGGACCTCTGCAGAGTGCTGGCCAGCTCCGGTGGGTGGAAGGGCACCGGTAGGTGCTGGCCTGACCTGCTTGATTCAGGCATCCCCACACTTGGGCTGGGAGTTGCATGGAAAAATCACTCCCTTATACTCTACTGGTACAATCTATTGCGAACAAATGCAGCATGAAACATTTGCACAAGACTGGGATGACCTTGATACTGACACTGGTCCCCTGGAATTCCCCCTCAGGCATCAGGGCCATTTTCCACCCTTTAGCTGTTGCAATGTTCCTTCGGATGTGAAACTGAAATATTAAGAACGCGCCTTACCAGGGACCGCGCGATCCACTTCTCCCTCCTTACTTCCTACCACCCTCAGGTGCCACTTCCAAGCCGGACTCGTCCCCACCTCCCCTCCAAAGAGAGTCCTGGAAAAAGTGAGAAAATCCCAATCTAATGAGCGGATCTCCCACGAGTGTCCGCAATGGAGTCCGTTGCACCCTTCCCCCGCCTTCCCCCCTCAGGGCTCCCACGTTCCCCACAGATCCCCGGCGACTCCTGTGGGCGGGCAGGTCTACAGATGGCAACTCCTGTGGTGTGGATGGATACCTCGCCCCCTGCCCATCCTGCCCCCCTCACTCTCGCGGTGCTGGTACCCCGCCCAGAGATGCCCACTGCTCAGCCAGAACTTGCTGAAAGGCAAGCCTACAGGTACAATCACTGGGGAACAGATGAAGCGCGAACACTCAGAGTAACCAGGATGAGCCTGATAATACTGCCAGACTCCTGGAACTCTGCTTTGAGCATACAGATAAAATCTCATCACTTACAGATTGCCTCAGCACTACAGAGGGAGGCAGCAATTTAAAAATGGCCACAAGGTGGCGTCTAAAAATCAGTGTAAAAGTCAGAGAGAGGGATCTGAAGGGCCTGGCCTGGGAGAGAGAGCACCCCCTCACTCCAAGATCCCAACTTTGTATTGTTCACCTCTGAGCATCTCTTACCTTTCTCTGAGCAAGCAGCAGAAAGCATTCAGCCCGGCCCAAGGTGTTCACTGGGGACCTCCCAGCTGGCAAGGTGCAACCCTGGTCGCAGAAGGGACATTTGGAAATATTTTTTCAGGAAACTGCAGAGAGGAGGACAGATTCCCACACAACCTCTCAGCGGCTCAGGGAGTGTGGAAACTCCCCCAGCACGCGGATGCTGGCTTCCAATTTCCTTTCAATGTGCACGAATCCATGCACTGGGGCACTAGTAGTATGTATATTATTGAAAATACATATTAGGTAACAATAAAAACATAGAATCATATTTATATATATGTAAGTACATAGTATTATATTGAAATGCATTTAAAAAGACTGAAATAGGGTGCTAAAATATTAACAATGATGGTCTCTGAGTAGATTTTCCATAAGCATGTATCATTTCTAAAGAAAAAATGTAAGCTTTTTATTTATTAAGAGACAAGACATTCAACAAATTTCACAATTGTCTCAGTTATTGTCATCACTTTAACGTATTTGCTTATGTTCATGATGACCAAATGTCAATATATTTCTATTAATGTTTAAAATAATGTATATTACATTTCCATATTTACTAGTAATATTTTCTTTCACAATCTGAGAGCAGCTTAGAACGTAAAGGTCAGTGGAATAGGCCACACCAAAATGCCACTTTAGTATAAGGGTTATTGTGAATTGAAGGTAGTTAAGAAGCCGCAGATACAGTTCTCTACTCTCTCCCAATTTACTTAAAAGCAGGACATAAACTGTAAAGGTGCCCACTCTCATTCCCCTCTCTACCAGAAAGGCCAGATACAACTCCAAATCCTTTTAACCCAGAGGAATCTACATAACAAACTAGCCTGTATCTTTCCTTAGTTTCCTTTTATATTTATCTTCCTGCAAAACGAAAGTGACGTACTATCTCACACCTGTCAGAATGGCTACCATCAACAAATGACAAGTGTTGGCGAGGATGTGGAGAAAAGAGAACCCCTCTCCCTTTAATTACAAGCTCTGGGCTCTTCTCATCACTCCGCCCTCCCCACACATCAGTTCAGCTCCGGGCGTGAAAAACCTCTTTCCAGGGCGCGACCTAAGGGCTTTTCAAGGAACAGCGCTCAGGTATCTTGGGCCTCAGGTGCCCATTTGTGCCCCCACGCGCTCGTGCGCACGCGCAGTCCGCTGGCCTCCTTGACCTCAGTAGGCTCGCAAGTCGGCCAGAGAGGGTGCGCAGACTACAATTCCCGACAGGCAACGGGACACGTATCCCGCCGGCAGCGGCGGAAAAACGGTGCGGAAGACTCCCCGCGAGGCGTAGCGTGAGACGCCGCTGGAGGCCGGCTGAGGGCGGTTCGCCCCGAGCAACTTCGGGCGCGAAGCATGAGCGGCGCCCTCCCCCGGCCCGCTCGCTCCCTGCCGCCTCCCGGAACTTGGGTCGCGCGGTGTGGGGCCTAGGGGCGGGCATCGCGAGCCCAGGGCGTGCGTAGGGGCGCTGCGAGCGCGCCGGCGAGGACAGCAGCCGCCATGGAGGTGAGCGGGCCGGAAGACGACCCTTTCCTGTCGCAGCTGCACCAGGTGCAGTGCCCCGTGTGCCAGCAAATGATGCCCGCCGCGCACATCAACTCACACCTGGACCGCTGTCTGCTGCTCAACCCCGCGGGGCACGCGGAGCCTGCGGCCGGGCCGCCGGGGCCCGGGGAGCGGCCCAAGGGGCTCTCGCCTCCGCGCACCAAGAGGCGGCGGCTCTCCGAGAGCTCGGCGCTGAAGCAGCCGGCCACCCCGACGGCGGCCGAGAGCAGCGAGGGCGAGGGCGAGGAGGGTGACGACGGCGGCGAGACCGAGAGCCGGGAGAGCTACGACGCGCCGCCCACGCCCAGCGGCGCCCGCCTCATCCCCGACTTCCCGGTGGCCCGCTCCAGCAGCCCGGCGAGGAAGGGCTCTGGGAAGAGGCCGGCCGCCGCGGCCGCCGTGGCGGGCAGCGCGTCTCCGCGGAGCTGGGACGAGGCGGAGGCGCCGGAGGAGGAAGAAGCGGTGGGCGATGGCGATGCGGACGCCGAAGGCGAGGACGACCCGGGCCACTGGGAAGCCGCCGCCGCCGCCGCCGCCTTCGGGGCCAGCGGCGCGGGCCGCGCGCACTCCCGGGCGCTGGCGGCCGAGGAGATCCGGCAGATGCTGGGGGGCAAGCCGCTGGCCGACAAGATGCGCCCCGACACGCTGCAGGACTACATCGGGCAGAGCAGAGCTGTGGGGCAGGAGACCCTGCTCAGGTCCCTCTTGGAGACGAATGAAATCCCCTCGCTCATCCTGTGGGGGCCGCCGGGCTGCGGCAAGGTGAGTGCCGCCTGGCCGGAAAGGCTTCGAGCCTGGATCTCCGCGGCGGGCATGGACCTACCGGCCTGAGCCCCGAAGAACCGCCCGGCTCTGGACACCGAGGCCTAAGAGCGCAGGGCGTCTGGTAGCCTCAGCCCGGGCGGTGCCTGCCCCGCAGGTGTTGTGATGGATTTGGAAAGGGCACACCCACCCAGATTCCTAAGACACGTATTCTGTCGTTTTCAAAATGAGAATTGGGTGAATTCATAAATTTACAAGAATATATGGACAGTTAGATTTAATCTACTTTTGTGTTCCAACACCACATTAATGACCAAATTCTTAAGGAAACAGCATGCTTCAAATTGCAGAGGATCATTTGTATGTTACATTTGTAGGTATATGGCATCAGTGTTTAAAAATTTTAATTTCTACTGTGCTTCCTTCTCTTCCATCTAGCTGTTAACTTATTTTCTCAGACTGATTTGTATTTATCTTTGAAACTATTTAACAAAACTAGTACGAACACTTTGCCCTGTGCAAGTCATTTTCATCTAGAATTTCCATAACTGCCTTCATAATGCCATGTATTTAGAGGGGAAAAAAAAAAAAAACAAACGGTGCTGTATTTTGGTGTCCAGTTCTATATACCTTGTTAGCAATTACAAGTCCAAAGGAGGACAGTTAAGATATTGATGTCTAGAAAACATGTCATTAGAAGAGTGCTTGAAAAATAGTGGAGTGTTAAGACTGGGGGAAAAGGGGTACAGGCTGGGGTGTTTAAATATGTGATTTAAAAAAAAAAAAAACCATAGGAAGAGGGAGAGGAATGAGCACCAGTGAATGAAAGGCAACATTTAGGTTCAGAGTAAAGGGGCTCAGAGCTTTCATGTTCAGACTCCTTAGTACACCAGAACTTTTTTGATTTTTCTCCATTTTTTCTTTCCAGCTTCATCTTCCACAACTTAATTGCATCTCCCTTTACCCCAGTTCCTGAAATACATGTTTCTTTTGTTGCCTTGTTTACAGTCATACTTTCTCTTTGGCCAGGTATAAATTAGATGTAACCCAAATAATGTATTACCATTGTGGTGTATTTAGTTGTTATTCCATTTAGGGGATTGAGCAGTAGTAGTTTTATTAATTGTCCATGAGTCTTAACATCATGAGAATGGCTGATAAGCTGTTGATGATCTCATATGACAAGAAAAGTACCTAGGGAGATGAGTAGGATGAACTCAGAAGATGATGGACAAAAGAAGTAGCAGGCTATATTCCTCAACATAGTGGCTTGGGAGCCAATAGGCAGGAATTTGCTGAAGAAGCAGCCTTGTGTCTATTGGTGCTATACTTAGAAATTAAAATGCCACCTTTCCATTTAGGGACAAATTTGACTCTCAGGTTAAACAATCTTCTCTTTTGTTTTATTCCCATCCATATTACTGTATTGCTAACAGTAATGTTAATTAGCATATGCAGATTTGTAGAGCACCATTAAGTGCCTGGCACTGAGCAGTATTTTCCTTGGATCTTCATTGTTTTCTGGGAAGTACTGACATGCTCAGAGTGCTGTTTCACCTCCTTCCAATGTAGACATTCAGAAGTATTATGCAGTCATATTAAATGCTAGCTAGTTGTCATTGGTCTCTCAATGCAAAAGCTAACTTTCCTCTCCTAAGCAGTAAAAGGTTCCAAGTGTGGAATTGATGGAGTCTGTGGTCCCTACACTTGAGTTACACACCTAGTCCTTCAGCAGTAATGTTTTCTTGGCTGGAAGAGATCACAGCTGTCACCCAGGCTCTACTAAATCAAAACAGCTGTTCTTTTTACTAGGATTCCAAAGATCTTAGACTCCCCCGCCTCCCCACAAAAAAAGGATCAAATGGGGTTAGGTTCAAAGGAGAAAAAATCAGGATTAGCCTAAGGTTTAGCTACTTTCCTGTTTGATTCATGACTTTTTAAATTTCTGATAATATGCTATGGTATTTCAGATTGTGTCTATGCTGCTAAGCATTTTTCAGAGGTCAAGTTGCTTGGTATATGCTTATGTTGATTGTGCTTGTACCCATGGTTGTTTTTTTCTCTGTGTCTGATCAGCTTTTCAAACTGTATGTGTCATCTTTTCTAGACCACGTTGGCTCACATCATAGCCAACAACAGCAAGAAACATAGCATAAGATTTGTGACATTATCTGCAACAAATGCCAAGACAAATGATGTACGAGATGTCATAAAACAAGCTCAAAATGAAAAGAGCTTTTTCAAAAGGAAAACCATACTTTTTATCGATGAGATTCATCGGTTCAATAAATCTCAGCAGGTATATTAACTTTTCTTTTGTCATTGTAAACATTAATTAAATAGAATGTAAAGTATGTGAGATCACTTTGAAAAGCATTAAGCATATACAAATGCTAGCAACTGTTGTTATTATTATTAACTGTCTACAAAGAAGCATGGGTTGCCAACCATCTCTTTAGCTAAACTTTTTTACCTGATTTGACTCTATCACTAATTAGACCCTTAGAGTTATAACTGGATGTTAGCACTACAGATTTTATATTGAATCATTGACTTAGCATTTCCCATTAGCAGCATCTGGTGGTTACATATTCACTGATATATAAAATATGTATATTTACTAAGTTTATTAGGAAGAATAACAATATGTCTTGAGTACTTGCAGTGGTAGGAGATTTTGGAAATACTGTTTTTGTGTTCTCTTAGACTTCTGTAATTACATAGTTGCTATATTTAAGTTACTTCAGTTTGGCCTTGGGATAGAAGATACTTTTCTAAGTAAATAAATCATTTATATTGAAACTAGAGTAGAAATATACTTTGAGTGTTAATTCTACCAGCAAGAGACTGAACTTGGGCATTGGCATTCCAGAAGATGTGTTTTAGGCTTAAAAAAGCATTAGTTGTGTTCTCTTGCTATTGCATCCATATTCAATATTCAATGACTAAAAAGCTCCTATTCCTGAAATCAAAATTAGGAACAGGAAGAAATAGTTGGCCAACTTACATAGGACTCCGCAGGTTGTCGCTGATTGGAATCAATGTCTTCTGCTTTCCTCCCATGATTAGGATACGTTCCTTCCTCACGTGGAATGTGGGACAATCACTCTAATTGGGGCGACCACAGAAAACCCTTCTTTCCAAGTCAATGCTGCTCTTCTGAGTCGCTGTAGGGTTATTGTTCTTGAGAAGCTTCCAGTAGAGGCAATGGTGACTATTTTAATGCGAGCAATCAACTCACTAGGCATCCACGTCCTGGATTCCAGCCGTCCCACAGATCCTCTGAGCCACAGCAGCAACAGCAGTTCTGAGTAAGTTGACTGCAGTATCCTGGAGTAACACACCTCCCAGAGAATCCCCTGGCAGGGGTCCAGAAAGGGCTGGACAGCAGTAAGGAGAGTGGGGACAGAAGAAATGTTGATCAAGTAATGAAAACAGGGAGAAGGGAGTGCAAATATATCTCTGCAAATATTTTCTTCCTTTTTAGATGTTTTATAGTTTATAATGGCTATATCTATAATTCTAGCTTTAACATTGCTTTGTCCATTATTTTAGTTTTGGGGTGTTTGCTTTTGTGCTTAGAGATTTGGTTCTTTACTTAGCACACTTCTTTTAAGTCTTGGAAAACTATGGGAAGCCTTATTGATTATTTTCTTTTATGGAATAGATTTAATTTATAATTCTTTAGAGATTTATAATCAGATTCCATTTTTTTTCTTGCAGTTTACTTCTTTTAAAAATATTAAGTAAAAAATAATGTAAATGGTACCATAAAATCACTTAAATCATTTTAGAATGATTTTTGCATTCTCTTAAGTCAGACTCAATTTCATGGAAGTAAAGTGATTTTAACTGAAAAGACACATTAGAGGTTATTCCTTTCCTCTCGGTAATCTATAGTTGTATATGAGTGCTTCGTGAGGATCTTAATTCACAGGTCCTATATCATGGATAATCAATTAGATTACTTCAGTTACAGATTTTCATTTCTTAATTTTAGACTGTATTCTTCAGATGTCTCTGATTCATGTGTCAGTTGAAAAATTGCAGTGGAGCTTAATCTGGTGTGATGAGAGGCTAATGCCTGGCTCTTCATGCTGGGGACCCCACAGCTGCTGATGCCTGCCCTGGGGCCAAGTTCTGGAGCCACTCTTCTGTGAGGATTAAGTACATGACATAGGCTCAGGGTTTAGGTTTCAACAGTCTCTCCCTATATGTCTGGTCTTTCCCATTTGCTCCTATCTCAGATATAAGAGGAATTATGCTATATCTCATGAAAGACATAAAATGTGGCCAGGGACCCCCAATTGGAACAAAATCACATAATTTTAGAGTATAGTTGTGATGGGATAGCCATCAGAATTGTGACTAAGAAGATATATAGAATTGCTGGTATCAGTCAGGTGTACGTAGACTTAGGAGCCCTTTGTATGCTGGGCACTTGTTTTTCCCACTCCCAATCACTACCATGCCAATATTTAATGAGGACAGAAGAGCATGGAGCTCATCTTAAAAAGGATTTCTGTGTTTTAACAGGATACCCATGTCACTTGCATGCACACTAAAATCTGAGAGGAGCAAGTGAAACTAAGAACTGTATACAAAAGTGAACTGGTGATCCTTTTCTTTAAAAAAAAAAATACTTTTTTTATTGATTTTAGAGAGGAAGGGAGAGGGAGAGAGAAACATCAATAATGAAAGAGAATCATGATTGGCTGCCTTTTGCACAACTCCTCCGAGGGATCAAGCCCTGCAGCCTGGGCATGTGTCCTCCCTGGGAATCAAACCATGATCTCCCGGTTCATAGGTCAGTTTGCCACTACCGAGTCACACCAGCTGGGCAAGCCAGTGAATCTTAGTCTGTTAAAGTTGCTTCCAGTGGGAAAACACCTTCTCTCTCCAGAAGATCATTTACTACTCTGTTACCACTCATTTAGAACTGGTCCTAACTATGACTTCTTTTCATTCTCCTGTTTACGTTCTTTTATCCTTTACTTTCCTGAGAAGGCTAGGAGGACAGGAACTTTTCCTTCTTGTTCATATCCCCAGCACAGCATATAATATCTAACCTAATAATGGAGTAATATGCAAATTAATCATCACTCTGCTACACAGACCACACTAACCAACCACGCCCATCAGCCTATCAGAGCGAGTATGCAAATTAACCAAAGAAAGATGGCAGTTAATATGCACACGTAGAGGGAGGGAGGAGTGAAAACTGAAGACAGCATAGAAGGAAGAGGGAGGGAAAGTGGAAAGCAAGATGGCTGCAGATGCTGGAGGGAAAGCACCGGGGCCGAGCAAGGTATGCAGCGGCAGCGGGCAGTGGGCACAATAGGTCTGGTATGTGGGGCAAGGCACACAACAGGGTGGCAGCACGTGCGGCCGCTGAGACAGTGGCGGAGGTGGCCACAGGCGTGGTGGGGCGGGCAGGATAGGTGAGGCATGAGGGAAGCCCACCAGAAGTCTTACAGGAATATTCCTGCAACAGGTACCTAGTATGTTTAATAAATGGTTTTTGAATGAATAAATAAATCGTACCTTTTAACATGAGAGAAATAGTTTAATGGGTTTTTCTGTTGTTGCTTTTTGTGTAATCCAGCATAAGGGATAATTGCCCAAGTATCAAGAACTCTTTAATACTACTGTCCAAGCAAACTAGCAGCAAGCAAAATGAAATTAAAGATTATTGAGCTTAACTTATTGGTCTGCTTGTTAGAAATTCTGACAAGTTAAGTTGGGAGATGTCATAGGCCATAGGAAGAATTATTCCATTACTAGTGAGTTCCTAACAGAAGTACCTGGCCACCCCACTTGCCATGGATCATTAACAGTGGATTGTGTTCTCTTTCAATTTTAGGTAAAATTTTACTTTCAAATCCCTGCTAACTGACATTATATATACAGTACTGTAGACATAAGTTAGATTTGGTTACACTAAAATCAAGTAGGAAGAAAAGACTTTTGACCTCAAATAATTACTTTATTTCTGGAAAGCTATGAGAGTACATTTGTATTCTTATATTTTGGTGTCCTAGATAACATCTACATTTTCAGAGAAATCCCAGACTATTTAAGGTTGTGTATGAGAGGAGGTGAGCAGGTAATCAAATCTGGAAAGTAATCAAGCTGATGCTTACACCATCTTTTTTTAAAAATAAATTTTTACTAGAGGCCCTATGCACGGATTTGTGCACTGATGGGGTCCCTCGGCTTGGCCTGTGGAAACTGGCTCTCCAACATCCCCCAAGGGGTCCTGGATTGTGAGAAGGAGATTCTTAGGTGACGCACCTTAGAATCAGGCTCCCTCTTCTCTGGTTCTGGGTGCGTCACCCAAGTCACAGCAGCTCAGCAGTTCCTACATTGAGCATCTTCCCCACGGTGGTCAGTGCAAGTCATAGCTACTGGCTAATTGGCCAGTTCCTTAGGCTTTTATGTATATAGACTAGAGGCCCGATGCACAAAGATTCGTGCAAGCAAGAGCCTTTCTTACCCTAGCTGCCACCACTGCCTTCACTCTTGCCAGAGTTGCCTTTCCGCCTTCCCACACTGCCCAGAGGCCAGGAGCAGCTGGAGTGGTGAGGAACTCCTGTGTCCCGCCCTGCCCCGGCCGGTCAGCACCTGCATATGCAAATTAACTCACCAGCTTTGATTGGCTGGTGGGCGTCACAGTATGGACAATTTGCATCTTACTCTTTTATTAGTGTAGATTGATTTCAGAAAGGGAGAGAAAGAGAGAGAGAGAGAGAGAGAGAGAGAGAGAAACATCAATGATGAGACTCCTGATTGGCTGCCTCCTGCACTTACTCCACTGGGAATCAAGCCCACCACCCGGCTTGTGCCCTGACTGGGAATTGAACCATGACCTCCTCCTTCATAGGTCAACACTCAAACACTGAGCCACACTGGCCAGGCCCATTCTTGATTTTACTTGAGGAATTGTGAATTCTTATGCAGTATATCCCTGTATAATATCAATTCTCAGCATGAGATGAAAGTGTTCTTTTTTTCTGTTTCCCGCCCATATTTAGTATGAAGGTATAAAAAATGCAGCTTCTAGCCAGTTATCTTTCACAGTATTTTTAGGGACATGGGCTTATCTTTCTGCTTTACCATTTGAGCACAGGGCTTCTACCTCAAGCCCCAAGGTAACTTACTGGTTACTGGAAATCTAGCTGTTATATTTGCACTCCAGACAACAGGAAAGAAGAGTGGCCAAAAAAATAGCATATCACTTCCTCTCACCCTTCAGCTTTAGTGTGACATCTGCAAAATAGTACTCTGTATACTCAGTTGTGTTTTGGTTGTGAAGAGAGTGTTGGAGATAAGTAGTAGTTTATGTTGAATTATCTATTCCATAGTGCCTTTTGTTTATATGAGTAATCAGTTTTCATGTATTTGCTCTCTCAACATTTTTGTCATTTGGTACAGTAAAGCATGTTATCTGTGCTTTGAGTTTAGTTTGGAGGCCAAGAAAAAAATCCATGGTCTATTGTCTGATGAGCTTGCACTGTTGAAAATGAGAAGGTAAACTTGTGTTACTTGCTGTTTTGAAGGATTGTAAATTCCAGGTCATAGGATGCATGCATATTCAAAAACATCCATAAAGAACCAGAAGTTTGTAGGCCAGATAATAGCTTATAAATTTGTGGACATGAAGAGAGTGATATGGAAATCTATAATTGCTGTATTACTGTCTAGGCACAGTTCCAGTTCCAAGAGTTGGTTGAAAGAGGTGAAGTGGCTTCTGCCCTGAAGGGAAGGTGTGCTGGCTTGACTTTGAGATGGGGGCTTTTCTCTGATCATCTTGAGAGGAGATCCCAAATGAGGTGGCCCAAAATAAGGTGGCTGTGAGATTGTTTTTGGTTCTTTTTGCTTTTAATAAAAGTTTGAACTATTCTGCCTGCCCTTTAAAAATAATCTTTTCTAACATTGAATAGAAAGAACAGAAGAGCAACACAAGCATAGAATATGCAAATTGTTCTGCAGGGGAGGGCATTTGGGGAGAACCAGTTCTGCAAGGGAGGGCAGTTAAGCATTGATCAGGCTGGCAAGGGGGTGGTTAGAGATTGATCAGACTGGCAGGCAGAAGTAGTTAGGGGCAAGCAGGCAAGCAGTTGGAGCAATCAGGCTGGCAGGGAAGGCAGTTAGGGGCAACCAAACTGACAAGGGAGAGAAGTTAGGGGTGACCAGGCCAGCAGGGGAGGGCAATTGGGGATGACCAGGCTAGCCAGGAAGGGAAGTTAGGGGTGATGGAGCCAGCAGGAGAGGGGAGTTGGGGGCAATGGGCTGGCAAAGGAGCAGTTAGGCATCAATCAGGCTGGCAGAGAAGTGGTTAGGGGGTGATTAGACTGGCAGGCAGAACTGGTTAAGGGCAATCAGGCAGGCAGGCAGGTGAGTGGTTGAGAGCCAGCAGTCCTGGATTGTGAGAGGGATGTCCTACATTGGAGAGGGTGCAGGCTGGGCTAAGGGACACCTCTCCCCCTCCTGTGCACAAATTTCGTACGCTGGGCCTCTGGTCTACACTAATAAAAGAGTAAGTGCAAATTAACCATACCTTCGCAATGCCCACCAGCCAATCAGGAGTGAATATGCAAATTAACCCAACAAAGATGGTGGGTTAATTTGCATACACAGGCACTGAGTGGCCTGGGCGGGGCGGAACATAGGCATTATGCACCGCCCCTGCCACTCAAAGCCTCTGGGCACTGTGGTAAAGCGGAAAGGCAGCTCCAGGCAGGAGCAAAAAGGCGGCTCCAGCTGGAGTGAAGGCGGTGCTAGCAACCAGAGGAAGGAAGGCACATTTTTGCAGAAGTCTTCATGCATCAGGCCTCTAGTTTAATATAGTGTACATTTTATAAATAAGTAATATTTAGAGTTCTGAGTACATTGTTTTTCAAAAATTTAATTGTTAAGGATACAAACTATACATACCGTGATTCCCCAAAAATAAGACACAGCGCATGGAAAAATAAGATACCCCCTGAAAATAAGATCTGAAAATAAGACATAGCGCATGGAAAAATAAGACACCCCCTGAAAATAAGATCTAGCGCATCTTTGGGAGCAAAAATTAATATAAGACACCGTCTTATTTTTGGGGAAACAGGGTAGTATGATCCCAATTTTATTTTAAATTAGATATAAGGTTTATGGTTGAAGGGGTGGATGGATCAAAAATGAAATTCAACAAAGTAGCTATTGTTATTTCTAGGTGGAAGAGATAATATATTGAGGGGGAGGAGTTATACTTTCTATATTATAATTTAAAAGGAAATAAATGTTTCACTAAAATTGTGGGCAAATTTGTCTATTCATTATTATGCAGATATTGAATACCTATTTTAGAAACATCAATGAGAGAAACATTGATCAGCTGCCTCCTACACACACACACACACACACACACACACACACAGACACACCGCCCAACTGGGAATGTGCCCGAAACCAAGGTACATGCCCTTGACTGGAATTAAACCTGGGACCTTTCAGTCCAAAGGCTGACGCTCTATCCACCGAGCCAAACCAGTCAGGGCCTGGCAGAATCTTTTGTGATCTCTACTACTATACACACTTAAGGCGATTAATACCCACCTGGATGTGCACCCCAGGCCAGAATCCCAGATACCTGCTTCCAAGGTGCTGCTCTGCCCAGTATAGCTGGATACCTGGTTTGTTTTTTGTGAAATGAGAGAATTAAGCTGTGATGAGAAGCCTTTCAAAACTAGCTTTCTGATGTGTTGCCACCTCTCCCTTGTGTGGGGAGTGATCTGAGCATACCCATGTTTTCAGGATGTGGCCTTCGTGTGCAGGATGTTTTCTGTACATCATAATGAGGCACTAGTGTTTTTGTAGTTTTCGCTATTCTGTAGGATAGAACCATGGAGACCACATGTCCACGGTAACTTTCTAAAACTTCTATGCTTCTGTGTATGTGCTTATCCAGTGACTTACCTTCATGACTCAAAGTCAGGTCAGTTTTCAGTCTCAACAGTATTTAATCATGTTAACAATGTAAGTTCAAAATAGAGCAGGAATCTTGAACATAAGATAGTTTTTAGTGACCTTGCTAAGAGTTTGCTAGGAAGTGCTAAAGCTGTGTCATATCAGTGTGACCAAAACTAACACTGGTTGTATTGCAGGCCCTCCGTACTCATAGAGGATAAAGCGGTGGACACTTTGGCTTATCTCAGTGATGGGGATGCCCGAACTGGACTGAATGGACTACAGCTGGCGGTGCTGGCCAGGTTAAGCTCCAGGAAGATGTTTTGTAAGAAGAGTGGGCAAGCCTGTTCTCCCAATAGAGTTCTGATCACAGAGAATGATGTGAAGGAAGGCCTCCAGAAGTCTCACATTTTATATGACCGAGCAGGTAAATAACTCTGAAGTGTGGAAAAAATGAAACTTGAATGAAATAAGGTCACTTCCTGCCCTCTGACCTTCATCTGAGTCCAAAGCATGAATGTGTTTCTCAGTAGGATCTCCAAGTTGGTCATAGAACTAAACCTCACACTCAGAGTCTGATTTCAAAGATCCAGCTTCCTGAGCATTCTCAAGAGTGTTGCAGAGCAGAAGCTGTCCTGATGAAAAGTGAGAGGGCTTTTGGGGTTTGAAATTGCAGGCTTCAAACTTATAGTTATTTTTCCATTGTTCGCTGATGGCACCTTTTAGAAGACAAGCATTTTTAAAACCCATACATTCAATTAACAGTAATTCGTGAGATAATTTATAATGGCATTAAATAACAGCAGGACTCTTGAAATAAATGACTTTATTTAGTGAGAATTAAAATTCTTTAATTTCTAATGTTTGAACTAAACATTAAGTTTTATTTGGATCTTGATGCTTTGATTTTGAAATAGCTTTTTGAAAAATTTAATTTTGCTTTGTACAGTTACCTGTTTTTGTAGAACCACATTTACAGATATCAATTCTGATACCAGCTCTTATTAAATCCTTGAGTTGGCAATATTAAATATCATAAGCACAGCACATTTGTATCTTTTTATAGAAGATGTGGTGAGGAAGATAGCACACTGTAGATTAGCCTGGATGTTTCAGGCTTGAGTATCTGTGTGATTCTGGATATTCCAGTAACAGGAATAGAATTTCCACACCTTGGAAAGCTCTGCTGGAAAGGGAGCTGATGATTGAACATTCCAGAGATCATGGAGGCTGTACCATGTCTTTAGTAGTATTTCCCCTTTTGATGTTGGAGAGGACTTCTTATTTGATAGAGAAGGGTGGGGAGTTTAAAAAGGACTTTGGTTCTAGGCACTGCCTCCTGGTGAGCAACCTGTGACCTTGGGGAAGTGACTGAAGCTCATCAACCAGTGGGGACAATGGGGTGAAATGGGTATGGGGTGGCTGACAAGCAGGCAGGACACATCAGAGGCTTTAACAACAGTCCTCTTTCTGATGTGAATGTGCCTCTCATCAGGTATTCTCTCATGTCCCGAAGGTCTCCAAAGGCCTTGGATGTCATGAATGCTTGGAAAATCTGAAAAGTAAATCATCCTGGATGTAGAATTTCACATTGGAGATGTGAACAAAATTAAAAATTTTAAGAGGTAAAAATAGTCCCACATTCTGGACTCTCCATTGTTTCTTGGGAGTCCCAGCAACAGTGCTCTTTTTCTCTACTTGGAGGTGTCATAAAAGCGACTTTATTTTGATTAGACCAACTAGAACTGTTCTTTCATATTTTATCAGTCCATTATCAAAATAACAGAAAGCTACCATTTAACATAACATCATCTAATATTGAATCTCAGTATTTTATATACATTGTCTTTGTTTTAATTCTTAAAATAACTTTAGGAGATCTTAATACTATCCTCATTTTACAGAAGGCAAAACTTGCCTGAACTCACAAAACAGCTGTTTAATTTCATCCTCAACTCCAGGTCTGACTGGTTAGGAGGACTGTGACTTTCCCCACTGGCGGTGCTGCCTCCATGTCAGCCCCTCCCCACAGTCACCAGTCTCATTGCTGGAGCAGGTCACTCATGCTGCTCACACTCATGCACATTCACACATACCTACTTCATGGATGCCAGACATGTCCAGTCCTCCCTCCTTGGGGATCACCTTCTCTATAGCTCTTTGCTGCCCTAAGAAGAGCTGGAACCATGGAAGCCACTGGAGCCCCGTCTTGAGAACCCACACAGTCCACAAGTCTTATATCCCAACCTGCCTCATGTGAAATCACTGTGTATAGTATGTCTACTCCAAAGTGTATTCAGAGACTTACACAATTTAGATCCTAGAGCATCAGGCTGCCCTATCAGTAAGGTGATTGAAGCACTGCCCTGGAAGTCTTCTGGCTTCTACTTTGGGGTCTTTTGTAACTTGGGTGAAACAAAGACTCTTACCCCCGGGATCCTAATTATTTCTTTTACTGTCTTCTATTATTGTTGGACCCAATAACTAGCTCAGATAATTTTGCATCAGAATAAAGAAATTTCCAAGTGAGAACACATTTTCTGCCATGCAATTAAGTCAGAGTTCTGCATAAGTAATATGAAATTTTAACTTATAAAGCAGTATATATACCGTATTTTCCGGCGTATAAGACGACTTTTGAAATGAAAAAAAGTAAACCGGGCTTTTTCAGTGGTCTGAATTCAGGTCTCAGCAGAGGGAACAGAGAAAAGAGGACGGATAGAAAGCACCTCACTTGGAAATCTAGGATGGCACTATACCACCGCCCTAGCAGGCTTTTTACTAGAACACAATGTAGCTTCGGGTATAATTTGTATGCATAAAAAGCCTGCTTGGATTGGCCAGAGTCAGAGAGGCGGTCTATTAAAAAAAGAACTGGTGTTGCCTCTCGGAAGTGGGGGGTAGTCTTATACAGCGAATATAGGCCTAAACATGTTTTAACTGTAAAATTAGGGAGGGCGTCTTATACGCCGGAAAATATGAGAGTGAGTGTGTGTGTGTGTGTGTGTGTGTGTGTGTGTGTGTGTGTGTATATATATATATATATATATATATATATATATATATATATATATTAAAAGCAAAAAGGAAGCTAGCATAGAATAATGATCTAACACATGTTTCTATAGTGCTTACTCCATACCAGGCATTCATTATTTAATACAACCCTGTGAGCTAGCTCAACTTATAATACCCATTTTACAGATGAGAAACCCTAGGAGGTTATAGAGGGTCAATCACTTGCCCAGTTACATAGCTAATACATTTGGTGTTCAAACTCAGGCAGCTTGGCTCCAGAGCCCAGGTCTTAACCATCTTGTCTTTTGTTGCTGACCCTCAGTAAAAATATAAGAAAGTGAAGAACCCCCATGGCAAGGAGGTTCCTTATTTACTTCTGTCAGGGAATGAAGTAGAGGTGGCTGCTGCCTTCTCCATGTCCATGAGTCATGCACTGTCTGGCCCCTTGCCATGTCCAGGCTCAGCACTAGAAGGGCTCAGCACAGGGCCAGCATCCAGGACTGTGAAGAAGGTGGTCAGAACCTTGTGGGTTTCACCAGGACACTTTCCCAGACAGTTTCCATGCCACTGTGACCTAGTTGAGGAAGCCCTGGAACAAGCAACAACTCAGTTTGTCCACAGAAGTCTGGCAGCTCTGCTGAAACATGGATCTGCCTCAGTGCTTCTCTGAAAAGTAGGAGGGATTCGGTCACCCCCCTCAGCCCCCATTTGGCCTCACAGATCTTTCTTGTTGTCCTGTGCTCTTCAACTGAAGGCTGTCACTTTATCAGCAGAGTCCGTGGCCCGGACTTCCCTGGGCCCAGATGCTGTATAGAGCAGGTCATGATCTTGTTGGTCTTGGCTTGAGGAGCACAGACCAGATACTTCTCTGGAAGGACTGTTTCTAATAATAACACTTCTCTCTTAAGAGCAGCATGCCCTCTTCTCAAATTTAGGGAAGAGATGATGGTCAGAAAATAGTGAAATATGTGTAGTTTAAATGTTTAGCCATAATTTTCTCTTCTTAAATATGTTTTCCTAAAGCATATTGACTGACTTGTTGTCCTAGTTAAAAAAAAAAAAAAAAAGGGTAAGATTAAGTGGTGACGGAGAAGGGCTGCATGCTTTTAGGGTGAGAGCTGTTAGTCCCTGTGTCAGCCCTGGGATCCTGCCACTTGCACATGTGTCCCACACCAGATTCAATGACCACAGGCTTCAGATATCAGAAAGGCAACTGGACATGACACTGAGGAGCAAATGGTCTATAACAGCTGTTCTTGCCAGTTGGCTCTTCTTTTTATGGGCTACATCCAGGCCCAGGGTCAATTCCCCTCCAGTTGCCAGTGGGACACAAGAAGCCAGACCATCGCAATTGCCCTCTTCCCTTTCATGGCTCTGGCACATCCTCCAATGTCCGTGAGGACCACCTTTCATAGTGAATGTCCCTGCCTTTACTTAGTGTGGGCTCTCATTCATTGTGAACAACCACAGGTGTCCGCAGCCCCCTGCTCTGATGGGCTGGGCTAGCCAGGTCACTTAGTGGCATGTGCCCTCGCACTGAGCAGTGCAGAACAGCCTACAACACATGCTCCTCAGCTTTCCGAGGCACTGTGGGAGTTTAGGCTTTCCTAAGTCATCCAGTAAGAGCAATAAAGGGCTTGGTGGACCCTCCTCTGAACCCTGAGGAGTCCCTCTTTCTGCCAGTAACTGAGCAGGTGCTTTCTGTGGTGTCCAGGTGAAGAGCACTACAACTGCATCTCTGCTCTTCATAAGTCGATGCGGGGCTCAGACCCGAGCGCCTCCCTCTACTGGCTGGCACGCATGCTCGAAGGAGGAGAGGATCCACTGTATGTGGCAAGGAGGCTGGTGAGATTTGCCAGTGAAGACATAGGTGAGTGTGATAGGAGGGCCCAGAGCCTGGAGCCCATGAGGGCAGGGTGGGTGGAGGGCAGGGTGGGTTGCTGTTTGTAACATGTGGGACAGGTAAGAAGAAAAGAGTGAAGTATGAACTCTGTTTATTCCTTGATGTGTTTGAGCTTTTGAGTGTCTGTTTCCTAAAGTCACCATTTCGTTCCCTCTTCAGTGGTGATTTTCATTACATGAGTATTGAAATCTAAAAAATATTTTAAATTTGCTTTCCAGAAAGTGTTCAGTTTTTTGTTGTTGTTGTTTTTTAATATATTTTACTGATTTTTTAGTAAAATATAGAGGAAGAGAGAATGATAGATAGTTAGAAACATCGATAAGAGAGAAACATCGATCAGCTGCCTCCTGCACACCCCCTACTGGGGATGTGCCCGCAACCAAAGTGCATGCCCTTGACCGGAATCAAACCTGGAACCTTTCAGACCGTAAGCCAACACTCTATCCACTGAGCCAAACTGGTTTCGGCAAGTGTTCAGGTTTTAATTGGATTGCTTCTGAGATAGAAACGGAAGATTCTGGGCACTGTTTAAAGGAAAAGATCAGAAAAATGTTTCCTTGATGTTAGTAAAGGTTTCGTTTTATTTTACTTTTTTTGTTGTTAATCCTGGAAGGATATTTTTCCATTGACCTTTTTTTTTTTTTTTTTTTTTTTTTTTTTTTTTTTTTTTTTTTTTTTTTTTTTTTTTTTTAGGGAATTGAAGGGAGAGGAAGAGACAGAAACATTGATGTGAGAGAGACACTTCGATTGGTTGCCTCCCACACTCACCCCAACCAGAGCTGGGGTTTGAGCCTGCAACTGAGGTATATGCCCTTGATCTGAAACAAGCCCGGATCCTTCAGTCTGTGGGTTGATTCTATATTCACTGAGCTAAACCAGCTAGGGTGTAACTTTTATTTTTAATGGATCCACCCTGTGACTATCTCCATGGTCTTATATATTACTTTTATGTATTTTGTATTATGTATTATTTTTCCTACTAGATAGACTGGAAATTTTATCCCTGAGGAAATAATTTTGACACCACACAGTAACCATTCAGTAACTATGTCTTGAATAAGCTAATGAGATCAGAGAAAAGTCTGTTCATTCTGCTAAGTGGGATTTTTCTGGTCAGCACTCTACTAGCAGTGACAGTCTCAGGTCTCGGCAGTACATAGACAGGTCAGGGAAGGTGTGCATTGTGACTTACATCTCCCTTTGTGTGCAGGTCTGGCAGACCCAGCCGCATTACCACAAGCAGTGGCTGCCTACCAGGGCTGTCACTTCATAGGCATGCCTGAATGTGAGGTAACTTCTTCAGCTCTGCTCCTTTCTCTTGTATTGTGTCTCCTTGTGGATTTACATATATAGGATATACCAAAAAAAGTATACACACTTTTAACACTTGATAACTCACTTAATTTTCACTCCTTTGTAGGTTTAACTGCTTTGAAATAATTGGTGAAGTCAGACCAATCTTTGAACAAAGAAAAGTTATCCTAAAATGCCATTAGACTTTTTTTTTTTAATGGAGATACATAAAATATTAAGTTTACAGTATAAAACCAGCAGTAGTCAACAAATTGAGGGTACACAAATTCTGAACGAAATTATTCTTAATGTTATCATCAGGGCCCGGACCACAGCAGTCATCAGTATGAAAACAAGCATCTTCATTTCTATAGATGGTTTTAAATTTTGAAAATGAATTTTATGTTAATAAACACTGACTCTATAATCATCCAAAGTGTGTATACATTTTGAGGGGACATCCTTTATCTTCTGCCTTCACCATTAGTTAATGTGTGGGCATACTGAAGAACTTATTTAACTCCCATCTTATAAGCTTAGACTGGAGAGAAAGGGGATCTTGGGTATTGACAGGTCATGGTTCCAAACTACTTCCTGTTGCCTGAGGTTCAGAGGAAGTGCTCAGAGTTTCCTGGGGGTAGAAGTGTTGAAGCTGAACAGGAAGTCTGTGCAAGTTCACCCACAAACACACCAGCTTCGTAGTTAATGTCTTATGTATTGGGGTTTTAAGAAAAACTTCACTTAATAAAAAATTCTTCAGTTTAAAAAAGAAAACTACAAGTCTGGTTCAGCCTCTCTCCTCATGTAAGAATTTCTTCTTTCTGTCATAGGTGGTTGTCCAGACTAGAGGCAGAAAGAGGAGTGATAAAAGTGTGGTGGGAATCTTCTCAGAATTAACTAAAGGCATAATGAGTCTTCTGCAAAACAAACTTTCTGGTACCTTCATAACAAAATGTTTCCTTTGCATCTAGGTGCTTCTGGCCCAGTGTGTAGTGTATTTTGCCAGAGCCCCAAAGTCTATTGAGGTGTACAGCGCCTATAATAACGTCAAAGCCTGCCTGCGAAACCACCAGGGGCCTCTGCCCCCCGTCCCACTGCACCTGAGGAATGCACCAACCCGGCTCATGAAGGATCTGGGCTATGGCAAGGGCTACAAATACAACCCCATGTACAGCGAGCCTGTGGACCAGGAATACCTGCCCGAAGAATTGAGAGGAGTGGATTTCTTCAAGCAGAGGCGATGCTGACTCTTTGAGGCTATGGCAGCAGAAGGATGTTACTTTTTTTTTTTTTTTCTTTTTTCTTTTTTTAAATAGGAATGGCCAGAAAAAGAGTAAATGGATTGTGAAGTTGGTTTTCTGGTAAAAGTTAAAACAGCCCAACTTTTTGTGCCAGAAATTTGAGAGTTTATTAAGTGGAGCACAGCTACTTCAGCTAAGTGTGTAATGTTGAATTGTGTTCATTTGCTCTCTGCAATGATTAAGCGTATGGAAGTGTCTGGCAGCTTTGTGCAATGAGTTAATGTTATAAGGAATTATCTATTTTGTCATAGTATTTAAATCATGATGTCATTTCAGAATTCAGTTCTGTAGGATTTTTTCCCCCTTTAAAAAAATGTATATTCTGGGTAGTTTTAATTGGTAAAAAAAAAAAAAAAAAAAAATGTAATTGTGATTTAATATTGCATAGTGTTCTGGGGTATTTTTTTTATATGCAAAGGTCTTATGAGCCAATAAAACTATTTCAAAGTAGTCTTCAGTTCGCTCCTGTTTTTCTCACCTTGGATACCTAGGTTCCAACGTCTGGTTACCATCACATTGTGAGTAAATACTATAAAAGAAACATTATCCTAGGTGAAATTGAAAAGCTTTGTATTTTTTTTGAAAATTTTAATTTCTTAAAGGAAGACATAATTTTAAATTGCTTTTAAAAAACCAGTCATTAAAAAAAAAAAAAAAATCCAGTCATTTGTTCCATTTCTCCCTGCTTCCTCCAGTTTCTTCTTGCAGTTCTGGATTTCTAAATAATATAGGAATTTCACTTTTGTGTTTCCTAAAGTTCCTAATGTCTGACATAGAGAGAGAACTTGGTTTTCTTTGTGTCTACTGCTAATTCTTTTAAAACTCCTTAATAGCTATTTTGCACACATTTCCACAGAGATGGCCCCATCAGTAACCCATAGGGTTCTGTTTCCACCCTGGGTGTGATCCCTCCTGGGCATGCCAGGCTGGAGGGGAGTGCGATGGCATTCCCCAGACCCTGTGTGTGAACCTCTCTCTTCAGTCTGGACTGGCCATGCTTTAGTACCTACTTGTCCCTTTGCTGTCATCTTGGAAATACCCTTTGGTTCGACCTGTACCATATCTGATTTCAGGGACCTATGCTTTCCTTCGTTATAGCAGTTTTAAGGCATGGGAGGCAAAATATTTTTAGACTTCGTCAAAATCTTCAGGCTCATCTGATAATTTGGAAATAAATTCTAGATCAGAAATTGTCAGTTGTCTGTCTCTTCCTCACATTGCTGTTGAGAAATGAGATGACATTCTGTTTTATAACCTCTGCAAGCTTATAGAATCCTCTCTGTTCCTCATGTTTGGAAAGTTTGGAGTAATTTTACTGGTCATTTAGACGCCCTTGCAGACTGGAAATTCGTATCTAGTTCTAGGATAGTTTCTTTTTCTTTTTAAATGTGTTTATTGATTTGAGAGAGGAAGGGGAGGGGGGTAAAAACATCAATGATGAGAGAGAATATTGATTGGCTGCCTCCTGCATGCCCCATACTGGGGATCAAACCTGAACTCCAGCATGTGCCCTGACTGAGAATCCAACCATGGCCTCTAGTTCATGCTCAACCACTGAGCCTTACCAGCCAGGTGGATAGATTCTTTTTAATTCAATAATATTAAGTGCCTGCCTTATCCTGCTCACTCTTGTTGGGAATGTACCAGTGAACAAAAGAAATAAATCCTATGCTCATGAAACAACTGATAGGATAAATAGTATTTTAATATGTCAGTTAATATTAAGTGCTAAGGAGAAAATAATCAGGATGGCAATAGAAAGGGTCAGGAGGTGGCGTGGTTGCAGTTTTATTCAAGTAGCCTAGACAGGCCTCATCAGGAAGATGGTTATTTGAATCAAGAATTAGAAAACATGAATGTGCCATTCAGATATCTAGGTCATTCCAGGCAACAAGCACAAAGCCCTGGAAGGAAGGTACCTGGCAGACAGTGTCCAGTAAGGAGGCCAGTTATGGGAGAGGGGTCAGGAGATCATGGGGGTTTGGATTATGTGGAACCATTTTATTCATGGGGAAATGTTTGGCTTTTACTCATGATTTCTAGCAAAAAAGTGCCACAATGGGACTTGAATTTTTTAAAGATCACATTTCTACCATGTCGAGATAAGATGGTAGGGAGGGCAGAGGTGGGAAATGGGAAATGAGAATTTGCTGTATTGAGGGAGAGGTGATGGAGGACGAGTGCTGGTAGTGTAGATTGTAGATGGTTTGATACAGTAAAATTTGGTGACAGGTTGTATGTAGTGTGAGAAAGAGGACTTAATGATGGCTGCCATTTACTGAGAATGTAACAAGTAACAGCTTTGGCATGGACGAATTTGAATCCTCAATAACCTAATAAGCAAAATACTATTATTTACATTTTTAGGGTAAGGACATGGGGGCACAGGAAGGTTTAATCTTTGCTTAGGATAGCCCAGCCAGCTGAGGTGTGAAGGTAGGCCATCTAATGTGGAGCCCACATTCTCACCTATGGATTCTTCTTACCTCTTTGGTCCTTTTTGTAACTCAGTACTGAGGTTGGCCCTCCCTCAAATGGTCTCTGTGTGTGTTTCCCATTCTTTTGTCTTTTTGTTCCACTTCCTGGGAAATTTCCTCAACATTATATTTCATTACTTAATTTTGCCATCATCATGTTTTTAATTTCCAAGAGTTCACTTTTTTTTAATATATTTTATTGATTTTTTTTTTTACAGAGAGAAAGGAAGAGAGAGAGCTAGAAATGTCGATGAGAGAGAAACATCGACCAGCTGCCTCTTGCACACCCCCTACCAAGGATGTGCCCGCAACCAACGTACATGCCCTTGACGAGAATCGAACCTGGGACCTTTCAGTCCACAGACCGACTCTCTACAGCTGAGCCAAACCGGTTTCGACCCAAGAGTTCACTTTTCTCTTAATGTTTCCTTTGTTGTTGTTTGGGTTTATTTACTTACTTATTTTGTGACTGCTTATCTCCCTGAGAATACATTTTTTTTTCATTTTCTCACTATGTACTCTTTCCTCTAATTGTTTTTTCTATTTATTTTGGTCTCTACCTTACATGTCATTTATTCCTCAGATGTCCAGTAATCTTGGGTGACATGATTGTATTTAAGCACAAAGAACTGAAAAATGAAGTGGAAGCTCTGGGCGTGGGAGTCTGGGGGTGGACTATGATCCTTGCTGAGCCATTTGTTGGAAACCCTGCAAGTCCATGATTTTAGGGTTTTCTCTTGGGCGGTGAGAGCCTCAGAAGAAACTTCTCTTCTCCTGCCAAGTAGTTACACCTGGCTCCCCACATCCTGGGTGCCACATAGGGAGGGAGGGCACTCAGCATACAGGAATCAGTGAGTGTGTCCCCTTGATTTCTTACAAAATGGTGCCAGGCCCCCAGTTCTGACTGGGGCCAGAGATCCTCCACTAGCCTGGCATAGGAGAGGGTAGCTGCCCTTGGCCCAGCCTTGGAGATGTCTGCCACATAGATCAGGCAGGTTCTTGGCTTTCCCCACTAGGATCTGCCAAGTCAGTTACCACATGCCGATCACCTCCCCAATCTTCAACATTGTGTTGCCATAACTTCACTTGTTCTCGCCACCTTAAGCGTTGATGGCTTTTAAAGATTCCTTTACTGTAGTTAAGGAAACAAATGGCTTGAAATCTACCTGTCTCTACCTGCCTCTCTCTTCCCCTCTGATCTTGTATCTGCCATTGGCAGAAGCTACATAAGCTTCCCTGGCTAAAGAGCAGGTCAAGAAGAATGGAGAACTAGATTCAAAGGAGTAAGTGAAGAATATATAGTATGGCCAGAGCTCTTGAAATAAGAGGTATATCTACTATAATTTAAAAGAAACAAAATTCTTTCTTAATGATGTCCAGTAACCTTGTAATAATAAAAAGTAATAATATAGCTAGGAAAATAGTCAGATGGAAAAATATGAAAATTAGTAGCTTCTGGACTACTTGTAATCAGAAAAATGTACCCAAAAAAATATCCCATTCTCTCCTGGCTAGTGTATCTCAGTGGTTGAGCATCATCCCATGAACAAGGAAGTCACAGTTTGATTCCAGATCAGAATATATGCGTGAGTTTCAAGTTCTATCCCTCTCTCTCTCTCTGAAATCAATTAAAAATATTTTTAAAAATCCTACTCTCAGTAACAGCCTATTGATAGAATTAAACTTATTATCTGAGGAGTAGGACTTACTGAAGAAATTACCATACTGAGACCAAAAGAAAACCTGGGCAAAGTAGAAATCATCCATATTCCTAAACATGATTTTATTATAAACATAATGTATTATAAACATTAATTTGTGTTTATATTCCATTATGTTTAGCATGTAGAATGTGATCATTCATTGAATGACAAAATGAGTGAAATGAGTGAATAAATAAGCAGGCATTGTTATTTATGTACTAGATGTCTTAAAATGGGTCTGTCCTTGCTGCTTTTGTCCATTAGGGGGCAGGCTTTAGCCGTGACAGAATGAGCCACTAGTTAAGTCTCCCCAGAGGTTCTAACTGAAACAGATGGCCACACAGCCAAATATTTTTTTCTCAGAGGTAATAACTGACCATTTTTACATATGTCATTTGTATATTTTTCTAATGTATGTATATGAAAATTGAAAACATGTATTATCTCTTTTACAGCTGGCTTTTTTTCATGTCTCCACAAGATTTCTTACATCCCGAAGTTTGTCTCTTAATGTGTGATTTAGCCACTGGAGGAGGAGGGCGGGGGCCTCAGATTCTGTGTGCTGCACAACACCAGCTTGCCATTCACACAGGTTATGACAGGTGGATGGATACCTAAGAACTGGATTTAGTAACCATTAGAAAAACAGGGAAGAGATCTGACTTCTCCCGTCTCCTTTTCCAGCCCTTGTATGGATTATCCTTAGCTCTTACCTGGACAACTGTCTGATCCTATACCAGAAGCCCCTCCTCCCCTGCTTAAACTC